TGCCAGCCTTCAGAACGGGAAGGGAGGGGAACGGGCACGGGAACGCGTCCGCCCTCCTGACAGGACGTTGGTAAGTGTGCGGCTTTGGAACGCGCTTTCTAGGTGAAAACAACGAGGGTAAGTGAAACTAAAATACGTATTTCAATCTGTCCTCAAAACTGTCTTTGATAAAGCAGTTACTGTTTTTAAGGGAAATGGAGTAGTTCCCGTTTTTTTTCCTGACGACACTAAGGCCATTGCACATTGTTACTGTGCTGAAAAGGTAGGGCTAACACCCGAGTTGTAAACAGGATAGGGAAGTAACTGGAGACAAACTACGGTGAGTAATGTTGAATGGAAAATCCATCAAATCTGAATATCAAAGAGTATAAAATTAGTTCTTTGAAGATCTGTCTTGAGACCAATCTTATTAAATATTTCATAGAGATCTGGAGGTAGCAATTAAAACTTTACTGTCTTCATTTGGCAGTGATGAAGAATTGGGAAGCACTGGCAATATAGAAGAGAGTTATGGGACTACACAGAAAGAATGGGGTGATCCTGAGAACTAGAATATGAAATAAGTACTGTAGCAATTTAAAGAACGAGGGTTTACAGTTGTAACCTTGTAAGGAAACAATATACGGAAGAAATTCTTACCGGTTGAAAGCAACACAAAACCGAAGTATGTGTTAGGTAGTTACAAGACATGTGGAAAAAGTAGATGGTGACTACAGTGATCCAGTAAAAGAAGTAATTATTGTCCTTGAACAGAACTCTAGAATACTTTGCATAATGTTAATCATTCTCAGGTAAAAAAGTAAAGTGGAACAGGTGCAGGAAGATGTGCCTTGGACAGGTAGGGAAATTAAGAGTCTGTTGGAAGAAGCATTTGGCTTTTTTAATTTTGTTGAATAAAGGCCTTTTTTGCTCTCTATCAAACCCATCAAGGTAAACACTGAGAAGGGAATAAATTGAGCTAAAGAATTATGTTGATACATGAATAATTTAACACAGATTTTAAGATTAATAACATATGAAAAATTTCTACCTATCAGAAAGCACTGATGTTCAAGAGCAGCCTTCCAAAAGGTCAAGGAAGAGCGAAAGCCCAACACTTTTTAGATAGAATGTGGCTGATATATTCAAATAATGATTTTTGTTTGCTGCAGCAGAGTTCTAAGCTTAATGTTACCTGTAGACTATAGATCAGTTTTCCTTTTTTGTTCATTTGTGAAATAGATTATTGGCAAGAACTTGTTAAATATGTTTTTTAGAAGAAAAATATTTTAATAGGGTTTCCAGTCTAAATAGTAGGGTTGGTGACAGTCAGAAAATTATACTGCCTAATTGCTCTCTTTTTGAGTTGAAGAGAAGATGTGAAGAGTAAGCTGAGGGGTGAAGTGTAGTATGTACATCTGTCTTCTTACCAGAGCAATGTGAGTTTGCCTCTGCAAGAGGGCACTATAAAAATCTGTTCTGATCTGTAATCAGTGACAGATTTCCTCTCAGCAGATTTATATCCTTTAGTTAGAGTTGTCTCATCTGGAAGAGCAGGGATTTGAAGCAGTGCTTTAAGTTGACTGTATTATCCCACCTCATATTCTCGTGCACTTAATGTCAGAACACGTGTGACCTTGAAGTCCTCATCTGCAGCCCAGGACCCAAGATACCTGCTCATCCAAGGAGTGAACTACTAGTGACTATTCTAGGGATTTGGGTGTGCTGGATATGGGTATTTTGGGGCTCTTGGTGCTCTTGTCTTTTGAGCAGTCTGTCAGTTGATTGCCTCCCACATGATTGCAGCTGTGGATGTCCTGCTTCCAGGTAGGTCAATTAATAAGCAGATAAAATATTTTAGAAGGCATTGGTTTATACACGTTATGTGAAATACATGGTTCCCGATGCATTCAGCTTTCTGCAGAGACCATCCACAGAATGCTCTTGGAGTAGACGACAGGCATGTCTTGAGTGCATGGGCTTGTTCCACTAAAGTTCAATTGTCAGTATTTATTGTGATTCTGTCTTCATCTAAGTCAAGAGCACAAATACTGAAATGGTCAGTTTTGTTGAGGTTTGCTTTGCTATTTAAAGTGATACTTAATAAATATGTGGAAAGAAGTTTTACCTTGCTCAGCACCTCACTGAAGCCGAACTTAGCTTCTGGCTTTGATTCATGTGTCAACACCACTTTTCCAAGTGTCATGTCTTTCTTTTACTCCTCAGTAAAATTTCAATTGGCTGAGTGGAACAGAGCTGCTTAAACACCAGTTTTGTCACTCAGCAGATTTCTCACATCCAAGTAGTGCAGCTACATCAGCTGACTTTTATGACATAAAGTCAAAGACATAAATCCTGCAACGTTTGTTGATGGGGTTATATTCTTCATTGTGCTCAAGACCTCCTATTGGTGTCTGACCAGCAATAATGGATGGTAGCAGAAAAAGGGCAGCAGCACATTTCAGGGAAGGCCTCTGGTGTATGGGTTTCCCATGGATTGTGTAGAATGCTTGTCTGTCTTCTTCATCTCAACTTTTTTTGTTCAGAGAAGTGTTTGCCTATCTGTGCTGTGTGTTAGTATGTTAGGGACTGGTTCTGCCTGAGTTTGAGTACATCTTCAGAGGATTGCTGCACAGGATTGTAGATACAGCTGATGTGGATTTTCAGGAAGCATCAGAAAAAAGTACTCTGAGGAGACTTGATGCTTATAGCACCTAGGAGATTTCTTAGTTGCAGAAATAGTTGGATTGAAAACTTAAAAAGAAGACAAAAAGAAATTTCCAAAAAAGGGAAGGGGGCAGAAAGGTGGCACAGTGAGCTTCAGTGTGCACAAAGTAGGATGGTATCTTGGGTAGAATAATCTAAACTGTGCTCACATGGTGCTGAACTCAGAACTGACAGCCACCACTCGAGAGAAAGCACTTGGAGTCACCACCGAGTGTTCCCTGGAAACCTAAGCTCAGTGTGCCATGGCAGCCAAAGAGCCAGGAAAATAGTGACTGTCCTCAGAGAGGTAGTGAGAAGAAGACAGATGACACCATTTTGCTGTCACCTGGCACCATTTTGCTGCTCCAGCTTGGTGCACCGACATCTGGGATAGTGTGCATGGTTCTGGTCTC